CAACATTAGCTCCTTTAATATGTAGATTCAGTTTTGCCAGTTTGCTTTGTGGAGCATTATAGTAGTTTTGCACTTTGCTTGATACATACTCACCAGATGAATATATTTCAACAAACTTGGTTATCTCAACCCATCATAATTACCCTTTAAACAGGAATTATATGTCTTTTCAAGATGACTCAACCAAGAATTTGAATAATATATATACAAATGCTAATTGTTAGTAAAGCATAGAGATAATGTTGTCCACATGCTACTTCAAGTTGAACAACATAATCACAAATTTCACATCATATTTTTACAAGAAATTAATCTCATACGCAAAGGATGTGTTCAAACCATCATTTATTAGGAATTCTCAACAATGTGACTTCAACAAGTATAATTTTAACACTCAAAGTTGCCACCTGCACAACTTTTCCTTCACGTGAGGAGATTAAGACTTATATAAAACATTCATATGATGCAGATCAATATTACTATTGTAGTACTTCAACAATTTTTATTGCAAAGCTTTGATTGTTTAATAACATATGAAAGCCAACCTCATTTCAGATGGAGATCAAGTGCCGCTATAATTAGCCTGCATGATCAACACCCTACTTCTTAAGCACTCTCAGGTCGAGTGGTGAAACCGAAGTTTACTTAAAAATCATCTTCTTAGACACCTTTTGTCCCAATCACACAATAGCTACAAGCAAGGGAAGTGGTAATGAGAAAAGGTCATTTAGCCACATCATGTACACAAAATTAAGGCTATAGTTTGAATGGATTATATCCAATAATTTCAAAAAAGAGAGAATTACAATTTTCTTAAATCAAACAATGTAATTGTGCTTCACAAAGAATTAAACTGTAGCTAGAACCTACCAAACAGGCCATAGGTAGGACATGGAGGCAGGGCCGGATTTTAGGCTGTGCAAGCTGGGCTACCGCACAGGGCCCCCAATTTTAGAGGGGCCCCAAATTTTAGAGGTCTAATATTTAATTTTTACCTAACTAGTTTAGAAATAAAAATAAAAAGTTTTCAATTAAATCTAAAAAGGTTTTATGAAGAGATGGTAAGAATGTGTATTTAGTGTATTTTCACTTGGAGGTCAAAGGTTCCAAACTTGCATATATTGATTTTAAAAATTATTATTTTAGTAGGGCCACATTTATTTATCAGAACAGGGCCACAAAAAGTTAAAATACGGCCCTGCATGGAGGAGCTGAGGGTGGTTTTTGTATTGGGAGGTGAGAGCGCGGCAAAATGAAGTTGAAGATCAGAGGGAGGAAGGAAGGTGGAAGGTGGGTGCCTGGGTGGGTTAGAGACTTAGAGCACATAATTTGATGGCATTGCGGTGCATGTGTTATTTCGTCACACCCATCATCATTCAATACATTACAACCTTTTGAGCCACCATGTGCCCATAATATTTCTATGCTTTTGTCTCCACTCAACCCCACACAATTCCAGCCTTTAAACCCACTTGCCCTGTCCCCATTTTTTATTTTCCTCACTTAATCGTTATGCATGTTTTACTCACCTTTAATTTTTACTAATAAAAAAAACACATGAAATTAAATTAGTACCTTAATTTAGGCATCACATGTACAAACATTTGAAATAACAAGATAGCTTGAGTTTGATTTTTAATGTTAATTCCACTTGCCCACCTTAATCATCCCATACCCCCCATTCATCAACCTTAACAAAGCTGTCAAACCTTTGTTGATATGACATTTGGATTCTCAGTCCATTGGAAAAAAAAAATAAGAAAAAAAAAATGTATGACGTGCGGAATTGACGTTGGATTCAATCTTAGCCAAAAGTTTTGTCACATAAAATAAAATAATAATAATGATAAATAATTGTTTCCCAATTAGAGAATGAATTAATATACAGGAGACGGGGGCTTGACAAACGTTTTAGAAAATTAGAAATTGATGGACGTACAATTAGGTAATTCATAACCAGGGAAAGGTCATTCTCATATTCTAAACAAGACGCCAATGAACATGGGTTGGCATTTTGTCTTTGACTTCCAATCATTTTGTATTTATTATTTTGGTGGATAAATTTGCATTATTGTTAATTATATTAATTAATAATTAATTAATCAACCAACAATGTTTAATGTGACAGATTTTCCTAGATTTGCGTTTTGGATTTAGCGGTAACACTAAAACAACTTTGAACAACTTGTATGTCTAGTACACACTAATATTGTTTAATTAACAATAAAAAATTGAAAAGAATATTTTCGTAAAAATAAAAACTCTACTCCATTCGTATAAATTATTTTTTGATATTAAGGAATAAGAAAAATACAATCATAAATATTGGGCTTTTTGATAGTATAGTTAATTTATCAACCAATTTTAGCTTATTTGACCATTATTAACTTTTTAATTTAGTTAAACAATCAATATGATTGTTTGATTAATTGGCTTTTCGTAACAAGTTATCACTCCAAAATACTAAAATTTAAAAATATGCTCAAATTAAAGTAGTTTTTTCAATCAGCTTTTTGAGCAAGTCATTTTGCATGTAATCTGCTATCAACTAATAGCTAATTTATCAAAACACTTTTCTACAATCAGCTAATGCTATCAATTAGTCAAACCCACTAATTCAATCAGCTAACAGCTAATTTATCAAACACTTTTCTACAATCAACTAATACTATCAATTAGTCAAACACACTAACTCAATCAGCTAACAGCTAACAGTTATTTACCAAACACTCCATTGTAACAAAGTAGCCCATCAAATATTATAACATCAAAACAATTCAATTTTTATTGTTTTACATGTGTTGTAAGTGAGTTTGTAAAAGTATATATTTATGTTAATCTTCAAAAAAAAGTATATATTTATTTTGTATAAACGTATATAATTGCTTAACTTGTTTATAACTTAATTTTTTTGAATTATTTAATAATCCAGTAACTGAACAAAATTGTGAGTAAAAATGTAAATACCGTAAGTAAAAAAGTAGTACTATGTACTCATCTAATCACTTATATATGTGTTAATACTTATGTGATTAAAATGCTAATCAAATCTCCTGTTTGAATAATACATTTTAGTTATATTTCATAAATTATACGATTGGCGTTATACTTGCGAATTTTTAATGGACTTTTGAGATGTAGTTTTGTGGGAAAGCTTGTTTTATAATTAAAAAGAAACAAAAGGGGAAGGGTGTGTGGATAAACTAAAGAAAAAGGAGGTTAGGCTAATTATATAGCATGTTGGAGTGAGATGGCAATTGATCCAAGAAATTTGGTTGTTCCAATGTATGTACTAAAAATGAATTAAAATAGAGATATGATTGACAAGGTTGTAGTGTGTGGCAGCAACAACAAGATTTGGTAGCTCTGATCACATGGACTCCCAATTCCCCTACATAACCTAATCTTATAAATCCACATACAATACCACAATTCACCGCCGCCTCCTGTCTCCTTCCTGGAAACACCTACGTAAATGCTATTCATTTTTTTCAAAAACTCTACTCTAGTCAAAAAATTATTCCTCTCGTCTCATTTTATTTGCCTGATTCGATTAATAAATTTGATTGAAGTTATTTTAATTCAATTTTTTCATAATATTAAGTTTAATATCAGTATATAAAATATATATATACTTAAAAATAATATTAAAAGTACTATTAAACACAAAAATTAATTTTAAAAATAATTAAAAATTACTAAAAAAATAAGTAAGGAAGGAAAAGTTGGTTTGACCAATAAATAATTAACGTGACATGTAAAATGAAACCAAATGAATATTTATAATTTACCCGCATGGACAGTTCAACTGGTCATAGATGTGAAAGTTTGAAAAAATGACCAGTGATTGAGTCTCACGAGCGGCAGTGATTCAGCCTTTTGAAAGACTAATTTTATATAATAAATATAAATATTATAAAGTTAATTAAAATAAAATCTCTATCTCGCAGACTCTCTTTAGATGGTTTAAAAGAACACGAATTCTTTTATTCCATCTTAATCAACTTTGGTGCACAAATAGTAAATAGTCATACAAACTTTTTAGTGCCTGGCTCCAAATGAGTGTGTTGTGTTTCTTTGAAATATATATATATATATATATATATATATATATATATATATATATATTATAAAATTTTGTAATATGGAGTGTCATACTCTATAAAAAAAATTACATAAGAATACAATTTGCACCTAGAATTATAATGAATAAAGGTAAAAATAGAATAATCCCATAAATATATTTGTTAATTTTGATTACTCCGTAAATTAGCGATAAAGATTTAAGAAAAGAAAAAAGAAAATTGGGGGTGGTGCGGGGCTCAAGGGGAGGTGGGACCCAAGAGGGAAAAGGGACACGTTGCTCCTTTGATCATGGGTGCAGTAGGACGAGGGTTGCACATGGGTGGTGGTAGGTTCAAGAAATTCATGTGATCACATGTGCTTTTCTTCTTTGTTTTTTTGACTGTGGACCCCACCCACCTGCGACCCTATCCGCTTCACCTTCCACCCTCCCACACCTGATCCTTCTGCCCCCAACCCTCCCCCACTCTTCTCCCCCGCAACTGACGCTCACTTACTCCTTTCTTATTTTTATTTTTTCTCCTGCTAATTTCATCAATATTTCAACCTTAAATTTTGCATTATTAGTCCCCAAATTTGAGATAAACAAATAATAATAATAATAATAATAATAATAACATAAAACATAATCTTGTTTTGAAAGAAGAACATCAATGCACTTAAAATAGGAGATCTTGAGTTTGAGACACAATAATGATAGTATTAACTTTTTGTGTTTCAATAAATTGAATAGATACTGTATTATAATAGAGTCAATAGTATAAGATGTCCGTATTAGGGAGTAGAAAAGAAAAGAAAAGGAAAGAAAAGAGAAGAGCGCGTAGGATAATGAGGGGCGCGAAATATCCATGATTAATGGAATTGCAGTTTATGAAACCAAAGCCCAAAACTAAGTAGGCCCAAGCTTCGTTGGCATTGACATTTCTGGAGCTCCAAAACAATAATTTAATACCGCACCACCACTCCTCGCTCCCTCTATAACCATTCTCCTCCTCCTCCGCCCCTTTCAATTCCCAATTCCATCAATTTCTCTCATTCGCCATCACAGCCGCCATGGTAAGCACCACCACCGGAACCAACAAAACCGCCTGCGAAGAGCCCAGACCCATACCCGCATTCCCCACAAAGCACAAGCTCAGCCCCGCCTCCGACCAGCTGCCCGGGATTAGCAATGCGCTCGAAGATTCGTTGTCCGGTTGCCGCCGCGCACGGCTGCCGGAGGTGCACCGCAGGACCCAGTTTAAGAAGGTAGTAGGTAATTCGATGAAGGGGAGCGATAGTAATGATGAAGGGGAAGAGGCCGCGGCCGCGGCCGCGGATGAGAAAGCGGAGGTGGAGAAGAAGATCTTGGCCCTCCAAAGGATAGTCCCCGGCGGGGAGTCTCTGGGAGTTGATAAGCTGTTTGAAGAGACGGCCGGTTACATACTGGCATTGCAGTTTCAGGTGAAGGCGTTGAGAGCTGTTACTAGCTTCGTTGAAGGGTCAGAAAAGGAAAAGAGAAAACTCGGTGGCTGAAATTTTTAAATATCAAAACTTCTGGGCGCCCATCGAAATCTTTATGTCTTTTTGAATGATCTACGATCCCACGTATAGAGTCGGTCCATCCAAGAATTTTCTTTGGATTTTCGGTACATCTTGTTTTTTTCTTCTTCTTCTTCTTCATTAATTACAGACCATTTTTTTTTTTTTTTTTGAATTTTGAATTTGGGATCTGGGTTTTGGTTATATTTTCTTGTTTATTCATTAGTTAATGTGAATACAGAGTTCATCGAAGATGAGAAAAATAGGGTTAGAGGATGCACTATGGTGTTGTAGGAATGAATTTCATATTTTATACATCCTTTTTTCCCCTAAACTTTTTTTTTTTAAACTCCTTTTACTTTAATACATTTATTTATAAGTTCATTGGTGGAAAAAAAAAAAAACCTCAAACATTTATACATTTGGTATAATTAATTTTAAGCAATTAAATACTGAAAATTTAAATGAAAAGGCATGTGAGAAGGGGGCATCAAATTAAAGATGGTATATTCGGTTGAATGCAAAAGTAAAACATTCTGTTATCTATCTAAAATGATGAAACATGCAATTAAATATATTCAAAATAAGTATTCCGTTTGTTTTTGTTTTAATAATAGGAAAAAAGTCAATCAATTTTGTTAATACATGTGATCACATGCCCTTTCATAACACGTTATTAGGATGAGTGCTTTGTATATCCTCGATGAACGAAAATTTATGTGAAAGTAAAATTTCATCTATAGCCAAAATCTCCGTTAGATTAGGAAGAGTAAAAGAATATGGCAAAGGTAAATACATATTATCTTATAAAAAATGGTCTCGTTTTCACATTATCTTATAAAAGTTAATTTCTTTTGTTATTTTTTTTTTTGGAAAAAGGGTCAAATAGGCTCTCGAACTTTAGCTTAAAAGTCAATTAGGCTCTTAAACTTTTTAAAGGTGCAATTACACCCATCAACAATTCATTTAGATGCAATGAAGCTCAAAATCAGGTTAACGACTTGCTATCACAGGTCATTAGGGTTCTGGCCACCTTCTAACGAAATTTCCGACAGGAAAAAAGTGACCGGTAACCGACCGACGAAATTTCCGGCAAAAAAAAGTGATGGTCACGGAGAATGTCATTTTTTTTTTGTCAAAAAATTCGTCGGAAGGTGGCCTGAACCCTAATGACCTGATTTTGGGCTTCATTGCACCTAAATGAATTGTTGATGAGTGTAATTACACCTTTAAAAAGTTTAAGGGCCTAAATTGACTTTTAAGCTAAAGTTTAAGGGTCTATTTGACCTTTTTTCCTTTTTTTTATTTTATTTTTTTTTATTTTTTATTTTTTACAATTAATCTATTTTGTCAATTTATAAATTATTATTTTTTGAGTAATATTGATCTATTACAAGATAGTATCTCTTCTATGCTTTTTCAATCTATTGCAACTCAAAGAGTTAAGATCCCTTTGAGTTAAGACCCCACTACCGGGGACCGATCATGTGATCTTCTCTCAAGAAAAATTGTCATATGAACATAAGGTGTTTGACATATAAATTAATCTAATATATTAACAAAAAAAATAAAAAATTTTGAATTTCATCAAATTATTTTACAAAATTCGAAATAAACTAATTTGTATTACGCAAATTTTTTTTTTAAAAAAAATTATAATATGTAAAAATTTACGATAATCAAATAGTAAATAAATATTATTTTAATTACATAATAAACTAAATAAGATTTTACATAATTAAGAGACCATTACAAATTTAACAAAATTATGAAATGATGGATGGATCGCATTAACATTAAAATAACGTTGGCCATTAATATAAGATAACTGGTCTCAAGAAATGTGGCAAATTATTATTATGCTATACAAAACTGTTCATAATTATGAATATATAATTAAAAAATTATGAATGTATAGTTCTATAATTATGAACATAGAGTTGTGAACATATAGTTTTGTAATTATAATCAATAATTCTGAATATGAAGTTTAAAAATTATGAATATATAGTTTTATAATTATAAACACATAGTTCAGTAATTATAAACATATAGTTTTCTAATTGTGAATATAGAGTTTAATAATTCTGAATATGAAGTTAAAAAATTATGAATATATAGATTTATAAATATGAACATATAATTCAGTAGTTATGAACTTAGAATCGTTATAAACATATACTTCTAGTTCTCTAATTGTGAATATAGAGTTTAATAATTATGAATATGAAGTTAAAAAACAATGACTATATAGATTTATAATTATGAACATATAGTTCAGTAATTATGAACTTAGAATCGTATCTACCTTGCAAGGTGGACACGGTTCCATAACATAACGATTGAAGAAATGTCGTAACAATGCAAATTCTAAAGCTTCCAAACGGAGCCTTATTTTCTAATGGGCCCATGGATGCTCGTTGAATCATAAACGTAAAAAGAAAGCCCATTACGTTTTCTGTTTGTTCACGGGGACAGTTGGGCCCGCCCAACTGCATTTCGGCATTTTATTCACGTGCCAGACGCTCTTCCCTGACCTGAGGACATTCCTTGGAACTGAGATCATATTCCCCAGCTCCCCCTTTTAAACCCGCTAATCCCTAAACCCTAATTCTGATTTCAGATTTCAGTTTTCTCCGTCAATTCAGTCAGCTTTCCAATCACAAAGGTACCGACTCTTCTTTTGTCGTTTTGCTTTCCATTTTCGTTCACTCTGTCCTTCCTTTATCTGTAAAGCCGCTTCTTTTGTCTTTTTTTTTTTTGCTTTCCATTTTCTTTCACTCTGTCCTTACTTTTTCATTGTATTGTTGAGAAACAGAGAAAGGTTAGGTTTCACAATTCGCTGGTTCTCAATTCCTAGCCGTTTCTTGATTGTTATTTTGATTTTGATTTTTGTTGTGGTTATGTTTTGGCTGTTGCATTAGTAATGGCGGATGATTCAGTAAACAATGTAGAGATGTTCAATGATTCCTATGATTCTGAATCAAAAACCTCTGCGAAGATCGCTGCACTCCAGCAGGAGAATCGCCAATTAGTTAATGAGAATGATCTCATCAAGGAGAGGGTGGAGAAGCTGAAGAAATCAATTGATGATTCCAACAATGAGAAAGCTGAGCTGCTGAAGATGGTGGAGGAATCAGAATTTGAGACTAGAGCTTTGAGATCAATAACTACCCGAGTTGCTGAGCTTGAGGAGGAGGCGTCTCAGCTCCAAGATCATCTGGGCAAAGCTTTCAATGATCTGGAAGAGTCAAGTTCTGAGGCGTCCCTATTGAGATCAACTGTAGTTGGGTTGAAAAGTAGTGAGAATGAGAAGGAAATCAAAATCCAGGCCATTGAGGAGGAAAAGAAACTGCTGATTTTAAAAGTGGAGAAATTGGAGGCTAGTAAGGATGATCAGAAGGTAGAAAAGGAAGCAAAGGAGCTGCACATCAGAGCATTGAAGAATAAACTTCAGGATTGGGATAAGGAGAAAGCGGAGCTGGCAAAGAAAGAGATGGAGGCGAGGGTGGATGAAATGAAAGGGAGAGTGCTAGAGATTGAGAAGAAGTTAAAGGATAAGGAACTACTGATTGCAGATGATCACACCAATGGGATTCCAGTGGCAGAGGGTAAGAATTATGGCTTCAAATTGGAGTGGCCATTGGTGATTGGGTCAGCAGTTGCAGCTATTGCTCTAGCCACAACAGTGATCTACCTGAGAAACGCTAGGAAAACATAGATTGGTAGTTCCACAAAATAAGAAGCAGAGTTGCTGAAACTCAGGTTGAGATTCTGGTGTCTAACCACTCCACGGATGATAGAATTTTTGATACACATGCTGTTTTTTGCAGGTCTTTGTTATGAGGTTTTGTCTTTTCCTTAAACTAAGATTGGGTTGTCAATGTTGCTTCGGAGTAATATGAATACATATTTTGTGTGCTAAACTAGATTTTCCTTTAATCCACACAACTTTTGATAGCATTGTAAGAGTACCGTTTCTGTTAGGTGCAAAGATGCTGATATCCATTTTTATAGGAGTATGCTAAATTGAAGGTTTTTTGATGAGTATTCAGTTTATCAAAACCTGCAAGACCAAACATTGGTTCCAATTTGGGCTCTAGATAAACATTTGATGATTTTTTATCTATATGAATTGCAGAAATTTGTAGCTATGAATTTACAGAATGCTGTATGTAAATGCAGTCAGCAAAAATCTTGAGAAAATTAAGAAAAAATTCAGCTTTGACACCAAAAATGGACTTTTGGAAAGTGCCAAGACTAGCCAAACAAAAAAAAAAAAAAAGAAGAGAATTTGGGCTGTGGCTAAATCTCTTTTCCTTGGAATTCATGTAATCTGAGAATGAGAAATAAATTGAAAGAAATCTGTACTGTCTAGAGTGGGATCAAGTGAGCAACCACACTGCCCTGCCTCTCTTGTCTACTAGGACCGAGGAGGGGTATAAAAAGGTTTATGTAGTCAATCAAGAAATCCTCTTTAATGCATTTCTGATCTCCCATATCCACCTACTTCTTCCTCTCTAGAAGATCCATTGTCCAATTAGGGTTTTGAACCTACTATTGCCATGGCACTGAAGCTGCAATTTTTTGGAAGGTGTTTTTCTATCCCAACAAGGTAGTACAGAATCACCTTTTCCTGTGATCTTGAAGTTTTTACAAGTGGGAATTCCATCTGTTGCTGTTGTGTTGTTCATGGATTCATGGAAGCTAATTAGATTCTTTGGAGAGGAACTCAAATGAACTCTTGAACAATCTTACATGTTAAGTTATAACACATGACATGAATCTGGCAGAGCTCTCCATCAGTAGATAAATACTCCCCGTACTAAGAATGCCTTGATACTGTTCCTTTAGCAGGTACGTGACTGGTTTACATTTCTGTGCATGAAGGTCTGCTGCTAATGAACTAGCAATAACGATTGCTTCAGAGGTCTTGATCCGCTCAATGTTAAAACCAGGTTGAATTTGCCATTTCTTGTTCTTGCTGTAACATGTAGACTGAAAGTACACTGTTATTGAAGTAGGGAATGAAGCCATTGGTCAGCGAAGCACATTAACCATTGTTCATATATATATATATGTGTGTGTGTGTGTGTGTGTGTGTATTGAGGATTATTGTAGCTTGGATCCATGTTTAATGATTTTTTTTTTTTTTTTTTTTTCTGGAAATGCTTACATTTTGCATCTCTATATTCTGTGGAACATACAGATCCTAATAAAGACTGCAGGATCTTCGAGTAGCTTGTAGATGTACAATCATTCATTGAGAATTTCAGGTTAGCCTTACTAATCTTGAATACTAATTACAGTTTTGAAATATGATGTCAGATGCATAAATGACTGATAAAGATTTATTAGGAAATTAAAAGTTAAAACAGGTATAATATAGCTGCATTTATTTGTATTATTATTCCACTATCATTACAAAAGAATAAAGAATTTGCTTTCTACAAAACAAATAATTTTCACAGGGAAAAGAATCCACAACATAAGCTAATAATCATCACAGATCATTATCATATCCTAAGATAGGACTTAGAACCTTGAGCGCTTGCATTCTGGAGGAAAACCCTGAGGGAACCTCTTAACATCAGCACAGTAATTGTAAATCATGAATTTCTGTTGCACCCATCGGAGTCTGTTTCTGCCCTTAGCATCAAGGCTTTGAGTCTGCCATGCCTGGGCGCCAGTTGAAGACTGGGTCGAACTGCCACATGATGAGCTTGATGTCTGAGCTGACCAAACACAAGCATTGGCGTTATAGTTCCTGTAAGAGGCCGTGAATGGAGCCTTGGTCCAATCCGTTTTGACCCGCCCGCCCTGGGTTGCCCAGTCGTCTGCGTTCCACAGGCTGGCGTAAACCTTCATGGGTTGGTTCTTTGGGAATGGCACGCCAATGGCTTCGTTGTTGTTGAATACTCTTATCGGAATGTTATCTATCAAGAATCTGTAAAATCCAGAAACATTTGGTCAGTACACGTCTTTGTGCTGTAAAAGCCATGTTAACATATAGATAGATATATACTTACATGATGCGTTGAGGATTCCAAAGAATGGAGTAGGTGTGGAAGGAAGTTGTGGGGTCGAACCATGGGTGGAACTGTTGTTCTTTACCACCTTTTCCTTGGGAGTAGACATTGGTGTGGATTGTGTAAGGTTGTCCCGAAGAATTTCCCAGGAACTCGAAGTCAATCTCGTCATGTCCTGCTCCTAGAGACGATAACTGTAGAGTTGCATACTTTGATCAGAAACTAATTAAACGTAAAAACAGAAAAAACTGAAAAAAGGGTGCATGGCACGAAGGAAGCTTAGAGCCTTAGAGACATACATAAAAGGTGGTGACAGTGCCAGCAGAATTGCCAGGGACGAGCTTGAGCTGCATGTCGAATCTCCCAAACAAATACTCGTCTTTGGATTGGAAGCCGGAACCAGAGGCCTGGTCTAGAGTCAAGTCGAGAAGGCGGCCGCCCTCCTGTATCTTAGCGCGCTGATCGCCTCCAAAAGTGATCTGAACGTCTTGGTAGAAATTCCCAGCGGAAGCTGAGAGGATGATGAAAGCAAGGAGCACTGTGAGCTGCAAAAACATGGTGGGAACTGATCTTGAAGAAGAAGAAGACTTCATATCTTAGCTTTCTGGTGATTTTTTGGGAAAGGGAATACTTGATGGAATGGAATGAGTTAGAATTAGGAGGTGAATGCTTATATAGATGTTGAGTAGGTGCCCTGCCCGGCCCACCATAGCGGACAGTGGGTAGGAGGAAGAATCCTAGAAAGAAAGGTGGGAAGCTAACAGAGAGAGCTGGCCGGCGGAGAAATGATATCCACGCGTTTATGAAGAGGGCCGGCGTGTTGGAGGACATGGATTTTTCTCTATCAGTGGATTACAGCTCTCCACTCTTGCTAAACCAGTTTTAATGTGTTTACCTACCCCTCACGCAATTGACTTCTTATATGTCAAAACTCTGTTTGGCATATTAGTTATAACTTATAAGTTTGCTTAAAAGTTAATAGCTACAAGCTACTAGTTTATTTTAAAACCTACCTTAAAATGTACTCCCCCGTTCCTAATTGATTGTCTGTCTTGTTTCTTCACGGTTTTTAATACAACATAACAAATGTTACAAACTTTCCAATTTTGTCCCTCAAAAGTAGGTGTTGTTTGTATAAAGTACAATTGTACTTACCTCTAAAAATTTGAAAAGTTAAAAGGGTAAATTGGGAAATATAGAGTGATAGTTATGTTCAATTTTAGAAATATGGCACTATTTTGGAACAAATCAAAAAGAAAGTAAGATAAGTAAAATGGAACGGAGGAAGTATATGGTTATAAGTGAGGGACTGAGTTATTAATATAAGTATAGTTTAGGGACCACATAAGTAAATAAATATGGATAATCAAATAATTTGAAGATGTGTATGTAAATATGTAATTGTGGTGTTTGACATGTGTAAAGTGGTGAGTGAGGGTGGATTATCCTCCTACATGTGACTGGCAATGGCAATAATTACCAGGCACTAACATTTAAAAAAAAAAAAAAACAAGAAACAAAGTAATCCATACACAATTGAGTCAAGCACAAATATTGAACTAAGCAAAACAAATGTAAGTATAAATATAAAAACGAGATTAATATCGATCAAGAGATTTAAGTTAGGAAGTATAATATTTTAGATACAATAAATAATATATTGGAAATAAATAATCAAGAGATTGAAGGGATGCACATCAAAGTTACTTTCATATTGTTATATAAAACTTAAATATCCGCATGGTATACGAAATTTATATAGCATTGAAAACTTTGAATCAAAACGATGAAATACATAATTCATACGTGTAAGGTATGTACAAAAAATTTTATAACACAAGACACAAATATTTAGGTACGAAATATTTAAATCGAGCCTAACTGTTTGTTGGCTGCTTACTACCTCTATATTACTCGCGGCCCTAACATGAACAACGTAACTAACGTGTGGTCTAAACTCTAATGGTGAAAGAGAAGATCGAATAACAAGAATCTAATTTCAAATGGAAAAAGACATCCGATCTGGGAAAGAGTTGGAATTGTCGTTTACCAAATAAACCTAAAGGAACCAAAATCTGGTTAACATACGTCAAGTTGCAAATTAAATAGGTTAACTCCAAAGAATTGTTGAGTCACAACTAATAATAATAATAATAATAATAATAATTCATCCTTATTATTATATTTGCTGAAATTATTACAAAAAAAGAATAAAGAATTTGCTTTCTACAAAACAAATACAATAATTTTCACAGGGAAAAGAATCCATCCACAACATAATCTAATAATCACTAGGACTTAGAACCTTGAACGCTTGCATTCTGGAGGAAGACCCTGAGGAAACCTCTTAACATCAGCACAGTAATTATAAATCATGAATTTGTGTTGCACCCATCGGATTCTGTTTCTGCCCTTCGCATCAACGTCTTGGGTCTGCCATGCCTGCCCACCGCTTGAAGACTGGGTCGAACCGCCGCACGATGAGCTCGATGACTGAGCCGACCAAACACAAGCATTGGCGTTATAGTTCCGGTAAGAGGCCGTGAATGGAGCCTTGCTCCAATCAGTTTTAACCCGCCCACCCTGCGTTGCCCAGTCGTCTGCGTTCCAAAGGCTGGCGTAAACCTTCATGGGTTGGTTCTTTGGGAATGGCACGCCAATGGCTTCATTGTTGTCAAATACTCTTATCGGAATGTTATCTATCAAGAATCTGTAAAATCAAGAAACAAATTTGATGAGGACACATTGTTGAGCATATAATCATTAATGTGCAATTAGGTTGAGATGTAGCTTTCAATTTGGTATCAGAGTCAGACCAAAGGTCATGGGTTCCATTAATGTGCAATCCAATTATCAATTTAGACTTTTAGTTGAGATGGAGCACATACTTCAATTCACATACGTTTTTGATCTGCTGTAGTATATTAGTATATATGGCCGGATTGTACAGATAAATACTTACATGATACGTTGAGAGTTCCAAAGAATTGAGTAGGTGTGGAAGGAAGTTGTGGGGTCGAACCATGGGTGGAACTGTTGTTCTTTATCACCTTTTCCTTGGGAGTAGACATTGGTGTGGATTGTGTAAGGTTGTCCAGAAGAATTTCCCAGGAACTCGAAATCAATCTCGTCATGTCCTGGTCCTAGAGACGATAACTGTAGCGTAGTACCAAACTTTGATCAGAAAACTAAACGTTATAAAAACATATAAACTGATGCATGCAAGGTTCGAATTGAAGCTCAGAGACATACATAAAAGGTAGTGACAGTGCCAGCAGAATTGCCAGGAACGAGCTTGAGTTGCATGTCGAATCTCCCAAACAAATACTCGTCTTTGGATTGGAAGCCGGAACCAGAGGCCTGGTCTAGAGTCAAGTCCAGAAGGCGGCCGCCCTCCTGTATCTTAGCGCGCTGATCGCCTCCAAAAGTGATCTGAACGTCTTGGTAGAAATTCCCAGCGGAAGCTGAGAGGATGATGAAAGCAAGGAGCACTGTGAGCTGCAAAAACATGGTGGGAACTGATCTTGAAGAAGAAGAAGACTTCATATCGATCTTTCTGGTGAATTTGGGAACGAAAGGGAATACTTGATGGGATGTTTCGAGTATTACCTGAGTGCTTATATAGATTTTGAGTAGATATGAAGGTGGCGCTTAACGGATAGAGCCGGCGGAGAATTGGTACCCACGCGTTTATTTTAGCGGGGGCGGTGTGCTGACTTCCGAGGACATGTCATTTTCTGATCAGTGGATTCCAGCTCTTCAGTCTTGCCTAACCAGATTTAATATTTACCTACTCCTCACGCAATATAATTGACTTCCAACTATTTTTTTATTTATTTTTGTTCATCTTAATAAAAATAAAATTACAAGGAAAAAAATATTCAAATTAACTTCCAAATTATAGGTAAAAGTGTAATTGTGTTAACCAACTCAAAAACAATAATTAAGTTTGTGCACGGTCCAAAATTATATAATTCAATTAAATTTGATATGTTCTTTCTAGTCATCGCTGGTATATTGGTCATCTTATTAAAAAATTATTATTTTAATTTATTTTAAATAAAAAAAATACTATTTTGTTATCACTTGTTATAAGATTTAACTTGAGACTTGCTAAAATTTTTTTTAAAAAAATTGGACTAATTTGTATTCTTTTATGCTGCGATAATATTAATAGTAAATATAAATTTCTTGAGAAATAGAGAAGAAATAATAAAACTATTGAATAAATTTTGTAACATTTATCTTAAATGTATGAAAATTTAAATTACATAACACGTTAAATGATTTTTGTTTGTTTGTTTGACAAGGTCAAATACTTGAATAACATCACTCAAATTGTTGGGTGAGAATTGAAGGCTTGAAGCCGTATTGGACACTTGCATGTTGGTCATTTTCACATGAATGTCGTATTTTCAGGGATTGTTAGTGCACATTACAGATATTTATTTGTGTGACAGAACGGATAAAGTCAGATTAATATATAAATATAATACTTAAACTAACAAATGTAATATTAAATTAGAAATAAAATATTTTATTCTTAATTTAAATTTTAAAAAATTATATTTTTTATATAAGTAATAAATATTTTATTCAAAATTTAGTATTATATTTACTAGTATAAGTAGTATTCCGTACATTTCATTTTAATCTGACTCGTCTTATGCATAAGAATTTGTGAGATGATTTTATACAAATTTTTGCACTAGTATATATATATATATATATATATATATATATATATATATATATATATATATATGGAAAAGGACTAACCCCTTCTTCACAATTGGGTGACGGTGGTTTACTAATTCTATCCACTTTCTGCGATTCTTCTGTCCACCCTTCTAGATTTTTAAAGATTGAATCCAATCTGCCTTTGCTTTTACCGATATCGTAAATCACGAGATAATTATACTTTAAAAAAAAGTATTACATATTTAACTAATTTAAGCTTTATTTTGTATAAAATAATTTCAGGTAAAATGAATTAAAATTTAATTTTGATGTTATCACCATTTTATATAATTAATTTAGTATTAGTAAATATAATATCTACACCTAAAATTTATTAAGGTTTCGTTCGAAAAGCAGAAAAATGACTTCTGGAAAATATTTTTCAAAAAATGACTTATTTTTTGGAAAATATTTTCTTTTTCAGTGTTTGGTTGCATTCTGAAAAATATAGGAATGGATGGAAACTAAGGAATCGAAGGCAACGAAGACAACCGTGTTTTGAGTGTTTTGGCGTAAGTCATTTTTCGCAAAAATACCTACGTTTTTCCCCGCAACGAAAATGTTTTCAGTTGACTGAATTTTTCTACTGCATCTAAATATTGAAAATTCAAAACATATTTTCCAGAAGTCATTTTCCATATTTCTAAACAGACCATAAAAATATTATTGATTGACCATGACGAATCAAAATTTAAAATTATATAAAAAGATATTTTGAAAAAAATAAATGAGTATGCTTTATTCTTGTGTCATCATTAGAAAAATATACTACAATACCAGCAAAATGAAATTAAAAAACAGCTGGTTGTATGGTATTGTCAAATACCATCACATCTCATACCTGATACATCATCCATGCATGATTGTGACATATCAAAGTATGCTTCTAATAAATAGGGAGTAATTAATTAAGCCGACAACTTGCTCGGGTTTGTCTAATGTGAAGTTGGCTTACCAACTTTATCTGAAACACCTAAGTTTATGTCTTTACAATATACCTGATGATGAGCATCAATTCAAATTATTTATTTGAACAATACTCAAATACACTACCAAACTAGATGTAAAAATATAATAATTGTGTCATTCAACACAAAGAACTGTAATTGGGTCTCTAAATAGTCTAAAATTATACAATTAAAATTAACATATTCTACGGGTTGCTATTGACGTGACGATCACTTTATTAAAAAAATATTATTATTAATTTATTTTAATAAATTTAAATAAAATAAAATAAAATAAAAAACCACCCAGGCCACTCCCCGTCTTTGTCTCTAACGAGAATCATAGAAAACTCTTTGTCTCTAAGATGGAGATGAGGGCCATTTCATCGTCGGGAAATGAAGATGAGGAGGGTGAGTTTTTTTTTTTTTTTTTTTTTTTTAATTTTATTTAAAAATTTATTTTTTTTCAAGTATAATACATAAATTTATTTTAGATCCATAAAAATATATGATGAAAAGTTTTTATAAAAAAATAATAAGTATTAATATAATTCAATAAAATTTTTAAATTTTGTTAAAGTCTATAAGGATTTATGATATGAAACTGAATACAAAAGTCTAGAAGGATCATAAAATATGGTTTTAGACTCGTATAGTCTGACTAACTTGAGGAACCATTAAAATTAAACAATTTGATTCGAAGTTCTCATTAACTTGGTACTAGTTTAATCAAGAAACGAACAGCAATTATTATTACAATACATATAATATATTCGATTACAAGCCACGAACTTCCCTTATTGAAATGACAAAGAATAAAGAATTTATCTTTAACAAACCACACTCACGCATATAAAATGTTGAAACTAAAAATCAAACTCAAGAATTCATCAATCATCATTATCCCATGCATTAATTTCCGATTGTCTTAGAACCTTGAGCGTTTGCATTCAGCAGAGAAGCCCTGCGGGAAGCGCTTGGCGTCGGCGCAGTAATTGTAGACCATATGCTTGCTTTGTACCCATCGGACTCTATTCCTGCCCTTCCCATCAAGCTCCTGCGTTAGCCATTCTTGATTGCTGTTTGATGCTGCTGCTATGGAATTGCAGGAGGAAACTCCGTTTGTTACCACACAAGCGTTGGCATTGAAGTTTCTGTAATAGGCAGTGAAGGGAGCGTGTGACCAATCTGTCTTCACCAATCCTCCCTGGGTCGCCCAGTCATCTGCATTCCACAAACTGCAGTATACTCTCATTGGCTGGCTCTTTGGGAATGGAATCCCAATGCTCTCGTGATTGTTGAATACTCTAATAGGATTGTTATCCACCATGAAACTGCAACAATATAATATAATATGAGAAATTTTGTTTAAATTGAAAGAATAACTGCAAAATATATACAATGGGAATGAGCGATGAGATAGATAGATATAGCGCAGCTTACATGATTCTTTGAGGGTTCCAGAGAATGGTGTAAGTGTGAAATGCGGCGGTTGGGTCGAACCAGAGATGAAACTGTTGCTCCTTGTTACCTTTCCCCTGAGAATATACATTGGTATGGACTGTGTAAGGTTGCCCAGATACATTCCCCAAGAATTCAAAGTCGATTTCATCGTGCCCTTCTCCCAGAGATGATAGCTGTTCGTTCCAATACCACAAACAAAAACAATCTTAGCTTAGGTTGTTACGGTGAAGAACAATATATAAATAGGAAAACTAGCTACTTACATAAAAGGTGGTGACAGTGCCAGCAGAATTGCCGGGGACAAGCTTGAGTTGCATGTCAAATCTGCCGAAAAGATACTCATTTTTGGAGTGGAAGCCGGAACCGGATTCTTTGTCGAGTTTGAGGGCGATCATCTTGCCTCCATCGAGAACTTGGCCGCGTCCATTGCCGAAATACATTTGGGCATCTTGGTAGAAGTTTCCGGCCAGGGCCACCGCCACTAGGCTGGCCGCTATTATCATACAAAGCTGGAGCTTATTAGATGATGACATCTCGTCAAGCTAAGCTATGATTCCTAGTACATATGCAGATGGGAACCAACGTAACAGTACGTGTTGTGAAGAATGAAGCTAAGAAGAAGAAGACTTGGGTTTTATATATTGTGATGGAATTGATGATGTTTTGGGGATTGGAAGAGAGGTGTGTATATATAGCAGGATTTGGAGGGGGTAATGATTAGGCATAATGTGAAGGAAGGATCGGAGAGGGGGAAAGAGAAGAAAGAAGTGATCGATCGATCGAGCTGGAATAATGTTTAGTTTATTGGGAATTATTGGAGACATGACGTTGAATAATGAATTGAAGCTAGCAAAAGGAATAATAATTATTGTATAGCATACGCGTCTGTAAGAGATGGAGGTTAGCTGGTCACCATCTCCACCTCCAAGCATGTATGTGTTGTTCCATCTCATCTCATCGATCTACGCTTCTAATTCTCAAACACCGCCGCAGCGCCTCTAGTGCCTGCACAGGCTTAACTCAACAGTTCAGGAAGCAGTATTTAAGAGAAGAGATTAAAGTTGGTAACAGTAATGTAGATATTATATTCAAAGTGAACATATTTATTGTGTCCATCGACATTTGGTCATGTCGATCTGTCATTGAATCACTATGATTTACATCTTTTCAAATGCTTTCATGGACCGGTATATTGGGGACCTTTAAAGTTAGGAAGAAAGAATGTCAAAGGCGTCACCACGTATATGAAAGCTAGCTCCATCTACCCATGTGAATCTTTATACTTTTCATTAAGCAACTTGCGCCATTTCCTCACACGCAAAAATGAATAAATAAAAAGTACAATTATATTAGCTACAAATGTATCATTTTGTTACCTTGAGGCTTGATTTACCGCTAAGCACGTCAAGTATGTAGACTCCAGGCAACTCATCCAATTCAAGTTAGTAAGATGTTGATTTCATACTAATCATAAGTTTACACGTCAATTCTGTAGACTCAAAGTAGCTTATTGACCTTTTTGGTTTGAACTGATAAGTTATGACAATTTAAATTTGGTTTACTTCTTTGTAGTCCCTTGTCGGTTAAGGTCACATGGTGGGGTTTGCGAGTGCACATTTTAGGTTATAGGCGGATTTACTTAATGCACACCATCAGATAATGATTGCGAGTTTCTCTTGTCATTAAAAAAAACTTTGTAGACTATTTAAAAAAAAAAACATTTTAATGGGTTAAATAACATGTAAACATATTCTTCCTATCAAGTGTACCATAAGTTAAGATATATAATCCCCTTGCTAGATTGTAGGCACCTCCGTTAGGTGGGAGGCTGCTTCATACCCAAAACTTTTGGTTAAGGATTGATGAGTCTCTTTCACTCAACCACACCATCTAGGTTACTTTGCTTATATTATGTTAAACCATTAAAATCAAAATAATTTTATTAGATCAGTTTCCCAAAATTTCAATTAAGACATGCAATAAAATTAGGAAAAAATGTCAAATTGGTCCTCTAAGTTAAGTGGATAGTGCAATTGGGTCTCCTAAGTGAAAAAAAAAAAAGAAAAAAAAAAGAAGCTCCATTCAAGTCTCCTAAACCGGTAAAATTATTCAATTAAGTCCAATTTGACTTGTTTATTAGGTTAAATCGATGCAGTGTTGACACATGTCCCTTTTTATTTTATTTTTTAAAACAAATGTTTTTTATTTATTAAAAATAAAAATATTATTTATTATAAATTAATTAATTAATTATTAAAATAAAAAATAAAAAATAAAAAAAAGAACAGCCACTGGCTGTCCGGTAGGACGGCCATGGCCGTCTTCTAGATATGGAACGAGGGCTACGGCCTTGGCCGCCGCCCTCGTTCCAGTCGCATCCAAGCTTCGCTGGAGGACCATTCACGATGCTCCCGTGCCAATCCCCTGCTGCGCTGTCCGAACGAGAGGGCGAGGGAGACGAAGATCAACCGTTAAAGATGCTGGAGGAGGTCGTTGTTGAAGACCTAGGCGAGTCCAAACTGTTTTACACGCCGGTCGGAGAGGGAGATCGGAAGAAGCTACGCCGAGCTGGAGGTCGATGGTGTCGTCACTGTCCACTGCCGCTACTTCATCGGGAAGAACATGGGTTGCCGGATCTGTTGGTCCTAAGCTGTTTCTCCATCGGGAAGAAAAAAGATCTGACTGGAATGAGGGAGATCGAAGATGTTTTTTTTTTAATTAATTAATTAATTTATTTATTTATAATAAATAAAAAATATTTGTTTTAAAAAATAAAATAAAAAGGGATACATGTCAACACCGCATGGATTTAACCTGATAAAAAAGTCAAATTGAACTTAATTGAACAATTTTAACGGTTTAGAGGACCTGAATGGAACTTTTCACTTAAGAGACACAATTGCACTATCCACTTAACTTAGGGTGTCGATTTAACACTTTTTCCATAAAATTAATATGAATGACCACTTAAGTGCAAATATAAAATGTCATATATACTTTCTGCATATAGATGCCATCTATAAGACATACTTCCAGATCTAATTCATCATTTTAATTTTTTTTTATATGTAATGATTTATTTTCAAAACTATTTCATACTAATCCAGTGATTTGTGAAACAATTTTTAATAGTAATAAAGACAATGCATTATTATATTAGGAATGGATAATTAGTGACGGCAGTAATGAATTATTATTGTATTAGACGTATGCATAATGACAATAATAATATTCTAATATTTAACCACATGATCCGATCCGACTAGGCGATTTTCGATGCACCAAGGTTTAAAATCTTAAATTCTTGCAATGCGTTAACGGACTAGACAAGCGTATTTAACTTTAGATTAGATGGGGAATAATGAATAAATGACAATTTACATTATTCACGCGCACTCCATACATATTTATTTCTTATATGGCAGATATTTATTTATTATTAAAATATAGTAAGATTGATTAATTTATAAGTAGTTAATAAAAATTCATATATATATATATATATATATATATATATATATATATATATATATATTCTTTTGAGTACTACTCTATTACAATATAGCATATGTTCATGCATGTTTTCTTAATCTATTGAAGTACAAAGAATCAACGCCCCACTAGGATTCAAATCTGGTACATCCCATTTGGAAGAAGCACATTTCAAATGTGTCTTCATTTAAAAAATATCATGTAATACTTTGAATAAGAAACATTTTAGTTTCTTTTGTAAAAAAGGGAACAGTATGGACCCGTTTATTTTAGGAAGCTGTTTTCCAGGTTCATGTTGGAGGATAAAAATGTAATATCCTTCCCTTCCATTTTATTTCTATTTTTTTCCCTTATTCTCTTACATAAAAGCAGTGTATCTTCCCATCTTTTATCATCAATAATATCACCTTTCTTCTTCATCTTCTGCACCTCTCGTTTCTCTCCGCTTCTTCGATGTAGTCCATATTCCAACATGGTATCAGAGCGGCGAGGCAGCCACGCCACCGCCGTTATCTACGCCGGAAAATTGAGTCAAAGAACGGCTCATCCAATAATGTCGATTGTTGAATTCCCTTTTCGCGCATCGCCGAGGAATCCGCAGAGGATTAGTTCTACGCAGAGTAGAAACAACAAAGTCGACGCTAGATCAACAGTCCGATCAGCATCAACACTGATTCCGCAAAGGAATCCAGAAGATACGGCGATCTCCACAGCCGTTCCGCAGCGGAATGGAGGAGCTCGTTCGTCGATTCCGATCAATCCGCAGAGGATTCCGAGTTTGGAGCAATCAGCCGCAGCGGTTGTATATCTCCATCTGAAATACGTTCAAAGAGCCATGGCTTTGAAGTGCGTGGACTCAATTGAGCGAGAGTTTCTGGATCAAACACATTCTCTGCCAGGCGCGAATCTGAATCGGAGAACTGTCTTGCTACGATTCTCATCTGAGAACGATTGCAGAAGGGCTTGGTTGCGAAATCAAATGCTAATTGCGGATAACCGGATGTGGATGTCGCGATGGATGCCGGAGCAGATCGTCTACCTCAATCGTGATTCTCCCCTGACTCTGGTATGGCTTCAATTGCCTCTGCTACCCATTCATTTGTTCAATTTTGATATGTTATCTCGCATATGTGAACCAATTGGAAGATTGGTAGAGCTTGGTTCGGCCACAGTCAGACGAACTAGACCAAATATGGCAAGGGTGAATATTGAAATCGATGTGTCTAAATCTGTTTTTATTGCATTTGGATTGAATTTGGTGAAGGAGGAGGTTTGGATGGGTTTTGGCAGAAAGTTGAGGTGGAAAGACTACCGAATTTTTGTATTGTATGTGGTCGGTTCAGTCACCTGGTGGGGAATTGCAAGCAAACTGAGGTGAGGTTAAGAAGAAGAGAAGAAAGGGGCACATCACCTACTTGTAAAAATGTCCCAATGACTCCTGAAGTTATAAGAAAGGAAGATGGCCAAACATTTGAGGAGAATCAGGGGCCTGATGTGGATGATTCAGGCCAAGGTACAGAAAAAGTAGAAGCTGATATAAGCTTTAAGGACAATGAGAGGAAGAGCCCTAATCAGAGGGGTCTTGTCACAGAAACTGTCAAACTGGCTTAAAGCAAAATGAGCCTTGTGAAGCATAAATATATGCAGTGAGTAGTTCTAAAAGGAAGCTGGATCAGGCTGCTGAGTCTCCTGAGTTGAGGCCTAATCTGGAAGCAAAATTGGCATCATTAGCAAGTGAAGAATTTACCAGCATCAACATTCTCATATTATTGCTTCTATTAGCATTTTCTATTCTCTCTTTAGTACATGATTGCTGAAAGCCTATTCTTGGAGGTTTTCTCACAGATTGTTTAGATGAGGATGAGAATATTGTTTCTTCTATTTTTTTTTCCCTTTTGTATCTAAGCTGGGCATGTAGGATCTACACGCTCCAGCTTACGGGGGGGGGGGGGGGGGGGGTGTTGGAGGATAAAAATGTAATATCCTTCCCTTCCATTTTATTTCTATTTTTTTCCCTTATTCCCTTACATAAAAGCAGTGTATCTTCCCATCTTTTATCATCAATAATATCACCTTTCTTCTTCATCTTCTGCACCTCTCGTTTCTCTCCGCTTCTTCGATGTAGTCCATATTCCAACATATATATATATATATATATATATATATATATATATATATATATATATATATATATATATATATATATATATATATATTCTTTTGAGTACTACTCTATTACAATATAGCATATGTTCATGCATGTTTTTTTAATCTATTGAAGTACAAAGAATCAACGCCCCACTAGGATTCAAATCTGGTACATCCCATTTGGAAGAAGCACATTTCAAATGTGTCTTCATTTAAAAAATATCATGTAATACTTTGAATAAGAAACATTTTAGTTTCTTTTGTAAAAAAGGGAACCGTATGGACCCGTTTATTTTAGGAAGCTGTTTTCTATTTTCTGTTTTCTAATTTTTCAGTTTCATTCTCTGTTTTATGTTTAGAAAACTTGTTTCTTGACTCTTATTTTTTTTAAATTTTAT